GCTGTGGCTCAAGTGGTAGGGTGCTAGCCTTGAGCTGAAGAGCTGAGCGACAGCACCCAGGCCCAGAGTTCAAACCCCACAACCAACAAAAAAAAAAAAAATAGCCAGGTACCAGTGGCTCAGCCAGTAATCCCAGCTACTCAGGAGGCTGAGATCTGGGGATCATGGTTCAAAGCCAGCCCAGGTAGGAAAGTCCTTGAAACTTTATTTTTTGTTGTTGTCAGTTATGGGGCTTGAACTCTGGGCCTGGACGCTGTCCCTCAGCTCTTCAGCTTAAGGCTAGCGCTCTACCACTTGAGCCACAGCGCCACTTCCGGTTTTCTGGTGGTTTATTGGAGATAAGAGTTTCACAGACTTTCCTGCCCGGGCTGGCTTTGAACTGTGATCCTCGGATCTCAGCCTCCTGAGTGCTAGGATTACAGGCGTGAGCCACTGGCACCCGGTTCCTTGAAACTCTTATCTCCAATAAACCACCAGAAAACCAGAAGTGGTGCTGTGGCTCAAGTGGTAGAGCACTAGCCTTGAGCTAAAGAGCTGAGGGACAGCGCCCAGGCCCAGAGTTCAAGCCCCACAACCAGAAAAAGAAAGAAAGAAAACTAGATTTTGTGAACCTTGGAAAGAACTCAGCTGCAGGGGTGAGGACACAGAACGGCCTATCACTGGTCACTCTCCTGGGGCTGGAGCAGAACCTGACTCACTTTTTCACCTTCTCCTCAGGGTGGTGGACAACGAGGGAACCCTGCAGCTAAAGAGAAGTTTCCCCATTGAGCAGAGCTCGCACCCAGTGCGTAGCATCTTCTGCCCCCTCATGTCCTTCCGCCAGGGGGCCTGTGTGGGTGAGTCCCAGAGGGACAGGGACCTGGGCATCTGGGGAAAGGCAGAGACCAACTACCAATATGGCTCAGATATCACAACATTCTGATGCCATGACTTCCTGGGCCTTGTGTCTTCTCATTGCCTAACAGCCTGGTGCTGAGATTTCCAGCTACAATCATTTTAGGCCCAAAGCCAACTGAGAACATCTGAGCCTGCAAGAGAAATCTGACAATCTCTATGTAGAGTTAAATGACCTCCCACTTGGGGATAGTCCCCTCAGACCTCAAGGCATGCTGGGACCTCACACCTCTCACACCTGAGCTGAGTTCACACCCAGGATCCCAGTAGCTTCCTGATGCCCTTTTCCTTTTACCCGGACAGTGACAGGCAGTGAGGACATGTGCGTGCACTTCTTTGATGTGGAGAGGGCAGCCAAAGCTGCAGTCAACAAGCTGCAGGGCCACAGTGCACCTGTACTTGACGTCAGCTTCAACTGTGATGAGAGTCTACTCGCCTCCAGTGACGCCAGTGGCATGGTCATCGTTTGGAGGCGGGAGCAAAAGTAGGGTCTTGTCAGCCCGGCCCTCCCCACTGTCCTGTCACTCTCAGTTCTTTCTTCCTCCCTCTCCCCTCCCTCCTTGTGTTGTAAATAAAGCTGTGCTGTGAGGGCCAGTTCCCAGATCTGCCAGGGAATGGCCACAAGGGAGCTCTGGGACCCATAGACAAATGGAGGCCCCATCCTCATTCTTGCAGTGATGTGTTCATTCAACAAGCACTTGCTGGGTACTTCCTATGTCACAGTGTTTCACACAGTCATGCATTCAGCAGACACACTGAGCACCGAACCGTTTTAGGAAGTTGGGGACATAGCTGTGACTAAACTGACAGAAATCCTTACCCTTGTGGGCTGGCACCCCACACAATAGAAAAGTCCCCAACTTATGATGATTCAACTTACAATTTTTCAACCTTCTGATTTTTTGACTTTCTAATGGTGCAAAAGTGTATCCATGTAGCTAGTCTGTTTTGTTTTTCACTTTCAGTGTAGTATTCAAGAAACAACATAAACTAGTCAACACTTGTTTATAAAATAGACTTTGTGCTAGATGACTGTCCAGCTGAATACTAATGTTAAGTGATCTTGGGCATGTTTAAAATATGCCACGCCATGCTAGGGTATTTGGTAGCTCAACTGTACTAAATTAATTTTTAGGGTATTTTTAACTTCAGATAGGTTTATTGAGATGTAACCCTGTCATAAATCAAGGCTAATCATAACAATAGGCTAGCTGAAGATGAAGCAAGGAAGGGAGGTGAGTTACAGGAGTGGGGCTGGGCTGTTCTGGTGGTGTCATCAAGGGAAGACATTCCTGACAGAGTGGCATTGAGATAAGAGCTTGAGTGAAATGAGAGGGAAGCTATAGTATGACAGGGAGAAGAACCTTCAACAGAGAGAAAAGCTAGTGCATAGGCATTGAAGACAGAATGTGTTAGAAGGATCCTTGTATAAGCCAGAGCATGGCTGTCTTATAATGTGATAATTATCAGATGAGACAGGCCAGGTGTTGTAGGGCTTCTTGGGCCATGCTGAGGATCCTGGCTTTTTTCCTGAGAAGAGGAGGAGGGATGTGGCCTGGTGGTAGTGCAGGATTTAGGGGAGGAGGAAATATTGAAGTCTACTCCGGGTGTTTCATGATGCTACATTTTAAGTAAGACTTAGGAGGGCTAAGACTTCTAGATTCCCAACTCAGCAGTTCCTGTGTAGCCAGCCCCACACTTGTCAATGCATTGGGATGATTCCCCCAAAGCAGGAAGCAGAGGTGTCAAGTTTTGGGAGTGTCACAACAGTATGGGGGCAACCATAGGCCCTGAGATTGAACTAGGGCTTCTTCTATGGGGTAGAGACAATGGGGAAATTTCTTAAGACCACTCTTATTTCCTCCCATGTCCACTCAGGGCCAAAATACTAACCCTGGAATGGATCAGCGACAAAGGAATGTCCATTATTGGAGGGGAGTTCCAAGTGAGAAGAGATCACTTGGATATTAAGTTCCCCAAATCTCTTGTCAGCCAGAATCACCAGCAAATATCAAAGAAGTTCTCACTCCAGCTCCTCCTCTCCAAGTCCACATGCTGTCACTTATGTATCAGTTTCAACTGTGGCTGACATCTTAGGACCTCAGGGTCAGTGCACAGTTAGACATTCCAACCTGGTAGCCCAAATTTTCTGAGCTATGGAACTAACACCTGCTGGTGTTATTCCCTTTGAGGAAGGAAACTGATCTCACATTTGTCAGTCTGTTATTTGATAGTGTGGTTACTTGCACAAAGCACTTCTAACTGGAACTGCCCCTGGGATTTATCCCATGATAAGGTAAATTGCTGATGACCTAAGTCTATCAGTGAGCTGGATTGTTCAGATGTGTGCCAGCATCTCAAAACAGAGCTGAAAGCTCAGGAATGTACTACGAGGACTCAAGTCTCAGCATATGGTTGCATTCATTGCTGTGATTTAGTATAGCTAAAAGATACAGCAAAGAGAAATGATGTATGGGACCAAGTGGTGTGGGGTGGCGAGGGAGATCAGGCACAAGTTCACAAGAGTCCTTTCCTATTGGACTCATTCAGGATGTGTTTACTTCTCTCATTTGCTATGTGACAGCTATGTAACCAAATTCCACACTCCTGGAAGGAAAGCAAGTGTTCAGCATTAATCCCATTGTTTATGCAAGTAATTTAGACAGAGTGAGCTATTCACCATTTGGGGATTAGGGGGAATACTTCTGAAATGTAAGTAAATTCCCAGACACCAGTCAGGGTCTAGCCTTGAAGAAGGTCTTCTGGTGGATAGCAGTTCAGACCTGCATGTTGATTCTTCTTTGCATAGCCTGTAACCCCAGATAGGTACTCACTATCTACCAAAGTCTATAGGTAGCAAGAGAATTGGGGGAACTTGTTTTCTTTAACATTATGTTGTTTTTTTTGAGTCTAGATTAAGGATGGTTGATCATGAATATTGTTGTGCATGATTTGGGGGGAGGGAGTTCCTCTTTGTGAAATTTCTGAGGTGGTAGAATTGACCTACTACTTTAAATCCATCTTGATAATCCTTTTCCTGACCCCCAACTCAAGGGGAAATAAATACTGAGTAAACAATAAAAGTTAAAACTAGTGTTATTGGTCAAACTCGGACCTCTCTGTTAACTTTGTCCATCATTACATCGCCTCTAGTTTGACATCAGACTAAAGCTCTGTTGACTGTTCCACCATGAGTACCTCTCTAGTCTACCCCCCAAAAAATCAGGTCCAGGGCTGGGAAGGTGGCTCAGTGGTAGAGTGCTTAACTTGCACGCATGAGGTCCTGGGTTCGATTCCTCAGCACCACATAAGCAGAAAAAACCAGAAGTGGCACTATGGCTCAAGTGGAGAGCGCTAGCTTTGAGCTGAAGAGCTGAGGGACAGTGCCCAGGCCCAGAGTTCAGGCCCTATGACTGGCAAAAACAAAAAAATCAGGTCTATGCCCTTTGTCTGATTCTGAACAGTTGAAACAGGCTGTGTGTGCATGCACACAACAGCAGTCCTACAGCTTGAACTAGGTGCTGTTCCTGACCTATTGTGCTTAAGGCTAGCATTCTATCACTTGAACCACAGTTCTAATTCTGGCTTTCTTTGGAAGTTAATTAGGGATAAGACTTTTATAAGCATGAGCTTATAAAACTTTTTTTAGACCTCAGGCCCAAAATCCAGGATTCTCAAGTTAGGTCCAACCACTTGCCCCCATATGCCAAATAAAGAGACTTAGTATGGGCTGGGAATGTAGCCTAGTGGTAGTGCCTAGCATGCATGAAGCCCTGGATTTGATTCCTCAGTACCACATGCACAGAAAAGGCCAAAAGTGGCACTATGGCTCAAGTGGTAGAGTGCTAGTTTTGAGCAAAAGAAGATCAGGAACAGTGCCCAGTTCAAGTTCAACAGTGCCTGAGTTCAAACCCCAAGACTGGCAAAAAAATAAGAAAAAAAAGGAGAAAGAGATGTAGTGGAGGGCAGAGAAAGATTTATTACAAGACAGTTGTAGGAAGACAGCATTTCAGTACATCTTCAGCCATCTTCAGAGATATAGACATTTGGCTCAGGTTAAATAGGGAGAATTAGTGTTGAAGTTGTGGTTCAGGTGGTAGAGTGCCAGCCAGTGAGCAAAAGTGATAGATACTGAGTTTGAATCCCAGTCGGGTATGGGGGCAGAGGGGTGACAAATAAATAGGGAAAATTGTGGGCAGTAGTCTGAGGTCCAAATGTAGACTGGTTGCCTATTAGCTTGGTCTTTGTCCTTAGAGGAGTCCTGGAGAATTGTTATCACTTTTCCATTGGGGAAAATTGGCAGGTGATCTCCTGAGCTTTTAGCTGTTTGCTTTTAAGATGGTAGGAAGGCATTGCCCAGCCAGGGGCTGGTGGCTCACACCTATAATACTAGCTACTCAGGAGGCTGAGATCTGAGGATCACAGTTCAAAGGCAACCCCTAACAGGAAAATCCGTGATTATCTCCAATAAACCACCAGAAAACAGAAAGTGGCACTGTGGCTCAAAGTGGTAGAGCACTAGCATTGAGCTGAAGAGCTCAGGGATAGCACCCAGGTCCTGAGTGCAAGCCCCATGACAGACAATAACAACAAAGAAGGCATTGCCTGCCACACAAGATACTTACCAGTGAACCTGGTCTTTCCTGGAGCCCAAAGTAATTACAAAGAGCCTACAGCAGAGAATAGCTTAGTTCAAAGATACAAAGTTAGGGGACTTTTAGTTGATTCATCAAGGCCCAGCAATAGCATCTTTTTGGTTGCCTCTTATAGAACCTGTGTGTTGACTGCTTTATCATTAAGAGCCTCCTCTGGTTTGAATCTGAAACTGAACCCTTTGTTAATTATTCCCCAGCCAGTGAACCAAACCAAAGCTCTCAAACCAGAGCTTCTGTGTAATGGTCCACCAGCAATTGTCTTGTGCTCTCACATTGAACTTCAACATGGGCTTCTGTTAATTATTTTGCTCTGGGGCTTTTCAATCCTTACTCTTTTTGTGGTGGGGGCAGCGGTACTGGGGCTTGAAATCAGGACCTGGCTAGTGTCCCTTAGCTTTTTTTTCTGTTGGTGGTGGTGGTCGAGGCTTGAACTTTAGGCCTGGGCACTCTCCCCAAGCTCTTCAGCTCAATGCTAGTGCTCTGCCACTTTGAACCACAGTGTCACTTTTGGTTTTCTGGTGGTTTATTGGAGATAAGAGTCTCACAGAGGGCTGGGAAGGTGGCTCAGTGGTAGAGCGCATGCCTTGCATGCATGAGGCCCTGGGTTCGATTCCTCAGCACCACATAAGCAAAAAGAAAAAAGCCGGAAGTGGTGCTGTGGCTCAAGTGGTAGAGTGCTAGCCTTGAGCTGAAGAGCTGAGGGACAGCGCCCAGGCCCAGAGTTCAGGCCCCATGACTGGACCCAAAAACAAAACAAAACAAACAAAAAAAAAAGAGTCTCACAGACTTTCCTGCCTGGGCAGGCTTTGAACCATGATCCTCAGATCTCAGCCTCCTGAGTAGCTAGGATTACAGGTGTTAGCCACCAGCACCCTTCTGTTCCTTAGCTTTTTTGCTCAAAGCTGGGGCTCTACCACTTGAGCCACACCTCCATTTATGACTTTTTGTTGGTTAATTGGAGAGTAGAGTTTCATGGGCTTCTCTGCCCTGGCTGGCTTCAAATTGTGATTCTCAAATCTTAGCTTCCTAAGTAGTTAGGATTACCAGTGTGAGCCACCAGCACCAACCATTTCCTCTGTGTGTGTGTGTGTGTGTGTGTGTGTGTCTGTCTGTCTGTCTGTCTGTCTGTCTGTCTGTCTGTGTCTGTGTGTTTGTCCATACATGCCAGTATTGAAGTTTGAACTCAGGACCTGGTCTCTGACTTGTTTGCTCAAGCCTGGTGCTCTACCACATTTCCAGTTCTAGTTTGGGATTTTTGAGCTAGGGCTTGAACTCAGGTCCTGGGAACTATCCTTGAGCTTTTTTTGTTCAAGGCTATCACTTGAGCCACAGCTCCACATCTGGCTTTTTGGTGGTCAATTGGAGATAAGAGTCTCATGGACTTTTCCTGCCAGGCTGGCTTCAAACTGTGATCCTCAGATCTCAACCTCCTGAGTAGCTAGGATTACAAGGGTGATCCACTGGTGCCTGGCTAGTTTTTTGTGTGCCCATACCAGGGCTTAAACTCAGAGCTTGTACATAGTAAGCTATGGCTGACATTACCATCTGAGCCTTGCTACCAATTCCAGCTTTTTGTTGGTTAATTTGAGATAAGAGTCTCAAGGATTTGTCTGCTGAGGTTGGCTTCAAACCTTAATCCTCCATCCTCAGCCTCCAGCATAGCTAGGATTATAGGCATGAGCCAAGCAAGGGTGGCTTCCTCGTTCTTTTTTGGAGGGAATACTAGAGTTTCAGCTTAGATTCTCACACATACTAGGTTGGTGCTCTACCATTTCAGTCACACCTTTACCCACTGTTTTTATTGGCTGATTATTTGAAAGATGGAATCTAAGCTGGGCACTGGTGGCTCACACCTGTAATCCTAGCTACTCAGGAGGCTGAGATCTGAGGATCATGGTTCAAAGCCAGCCAGGGCAGGAAAGTCCCTGAGACTCTTATCTCCAACAAACCACTAGAAAACTAGAAGTGGCCCTGTGGCTCAAGCGGTAGAGCACTTGCCTTGAGCTGAAGAGCATAAGGACAGCGCCCAAGCCCAGAGTTCAAGCCCCATGACCGACAAAAAAAAAAAAAAAAGATGCAATCTACCAAATTGTTCTGCCTAGGCTTCCCTTGAACTTTGGTTCTCCAAATCTCAGCCTCCCCCAGTACTAGGATTAACTGGTGCCCAGCTAAATTTACTCATTTTTGGGCTGGGAAGGTGGCTCAGTGGTAGAGCGCTTGCCTTGCATGCATGAGGCCCTGGGTTCGATTCCTCAGCACCACATATGCAAAAAGAAAAAAAGCCGGAAGTGGTGCTGTGGCTCAAGTGGTAGAGCGCCAGCCTTGAGCTGAAGAGCTGAGGGATAGCACCCAGGCCCAGAGTTCAGGACCCATGACCGGAGCCAAAAAAAAACAAAAACATAAATTTACTCATTTTTCTGATATATATTTACTAAGTCTCTACATGTGGCAGACTCTGTACCAGGATATAACAATGAACAAAATAGAATGCCTTCAAGGAGCTGACATTCCCATCAGCCCCTAAAACCCAGAGAATAACAGAGGCTCAGAGCAGAGGTCATCCATGGCCTTGCTTATCATACATCTGATACCCAGTGAGTGTTGTGCCTGAATATATATTCAGAGAAATGAAAGCTTGGTGTGGAGGCTGAGGATTAGCTGAGGATTAGTTCAATCCCCATGGCAACAAAGAGGGAGCCATTGTGAGGTATTTTTTTTTCATTGTGGACTTGAACACAGGGCCTGGGCACTGTCCCTGAGGTTTTTGTAGCTCAAGGCTAGTGCTCTACCATTTTAGTCATAGCTCTGCTTCCAGCATTTGCTTATTAGAGATGAAACTCACAGACTTTTCCTGCCAGGGCTGGCCTTGAACTATGATCTACAGATCTCAGCCTCCTGAGTAGCTAGGATTATAATCATGAGCCACTGGTCCCTGGCCATATTATGAGTTCTTAAGCAAGAGTGCAGAAATATTTGTTGAATTTAAGAGCTATGCTTCTGGGCGCTGATGCCTCACACCTGTAATCCTAGCTACTCAAGTGGCTAAGATCTGAGGATCACAATTGAAAGCCAGGCTAGGCAGAAAGACTTATCATCATCAATTAAAAAAAACTACCAAAAAGCTAGGAATAGAGCAGTGGTTCAAGTGGTAAAGCACTAGCCTTGAGCACAAAAAAAGGACAGCCAGGCACCAGTGGCTCATGCCTGTAATCCTAGCTACTCAGAAGGATGACATCTGAGGATTGCAGTTTGAAGCCAGCCCGGGCTGGGATGTCTGTGAGACTCTTATCTCCAATTAATTACCAGAAAACTGGAAGTGGTGCTGTGACTCAAGTGGTAGAGCACTTGCCTTGAGCTGAAGAGCTCAGGGACAGCACCCAGGCCCAGATTTCAAGACCCACAACTGACAAGACAAAAAAAAAAAAAGACTCAAGGACA